AGAACCCCTTCGGAACATTATCCAGTTTTTTCTCCCAAAAAATAACTGCCGTCGAGCGGGGTATATATAGAATTATAACAAAAAAGAATTACAAACCTGATGGCATAAGAGACAATGGGAGCGAATTTCGCAGTCTTTGTCGGCGATATAACTGACTGCGCCTTGCGAAATGCTTCAATGACACCGTCAAGACCGAGACAGATTGGTTCGACGTTAAAATTCTGAAAAGCAAGAGTCATCACATGACAGTAACGATACTGTGTTGAAAAGAATATGAAAATTGATAGAGATGAATCCCTTAGATTCCCAAAAGAAATTTGCGTAATAGTTTATGGTGCGAAGTTACCTATAAAGGTTCACAACCACGGTCTCTAAGCGGGTTAGGTCGAGGGAGGACATTCTCATGAAATTAAACCAGTACGGAAAAAAATAAGTGTAGCATTGACAGCCCTATCCCACTGATTATACGGGACAGAGTTACAGCTTAGCAGTCGTTAAAATCAAGCTTCGGGCCCACTTAACCTTCACGTGAGACCAAAGTGGATGTCACGTCCGCTGCGGGATACACTCCCCATACCCAACGGCCAGGTGGTTTCGATAGCTAGTTGTATTGGGTTGGGGGGTCGCTTCTATGCGGAGATCAGCTGTGTTCAGAGCTTTTTCCAACTGGTACACTGAAAGAGCTGAATAGCGACAGTAACTGCAGTGGCCGAATAATGAAGAGAAGTTGTGAAACAGTTGATTTATTGTACATTTCAAGAAATAGATACGCCCCTCCCCATCACTTCATGTAAAGAAAAGCGAATGATCAGGTACTGTCTCAGAACAAAGTGTACAATAGGTTTCATGTGCCACTTACCAAGTGAAATTCATGGGCTTCCTGGAACGTTGGTGGGGTTTTGGCTCCAATGCCGAACGCAGCGAATAGACGATTCCTGGTATAAGAAGCATTGATGTATAGATGCTGTTTAATAAGTTTACAAGTTGAGTAAAACTGGCAGTGGGAAGCATTAGGGAAGCGAACTCACGGTGTGTAATCCCTGAGAATGCCACCAATGGCACGGATAGCCAGCTGTACCTCGGAGTCAAATCGGCTCTGTTCGGACTTACTCGGTAATGTCTCCGATGAAAAATCGACCGCAACTTCGTAATGCAATTGTGTTCTGAGTAAAAAGAAGTGATTAGTCATTAGCCTTTCGAGAGTATGGGAGAGTTTACCAAAACTAGCGATACATTACTCTACAAGGGAGGTAACTCAGGTCGGGCGCGCTTTTGGAAATGGTTTGTTGTGTGTGGTAGCGGTCCTCAGAAAGCCCATAAAATCGAGTGTCATTTTTGCTAAGCGTTTAAAAAGCCGAAAAGGGAGCAAGTCATCAGCGTACCTAAGGCTGACAGAGGCCCAGCAGGTTTCTACGTAGTGACTTCCCTGATTTGCCAGAAAATAAATTATAAAGTTCTTTTCAAACTTTCCATTCCGATCTTTAAACCCATCCCAATCTCATCAGGGAGTTGTTATCGGATGCAAAGGGCATAGCACTCACTTACCCGCTGACAATGTAGTCCAGAAAGGAGAAAAAGGAGACATCTGTGAACTTCACCAATTCCATTCGTCCACTGTTCTCGTAGCTCTGCAAATACCATTCTTCTATGGTGTTCACTCATTTCAGAAACCCTTCAAGGAATGAGCTGCACCTTCTTCTGTTGTTGTTTCGTCTCGTTTATAACAGCATAAACGTTGTCAGGCCCAGGACCGTACTTCATTTTGGCATAGGTGGTGAGAAACTTTCCAATGAATCCTTCTGAATTGTCGACGTCTCTGTACATCACCCAAACTTCCAATAACCTAAATTCATTCCAGTTCAAGAAAGTTTAACAAAGAGGAAGATGTTTTACTGAGTGATTTTCTCACCTGTTCCTATTGTCGGCTGCATCCTGAGTTCCCAATCGAAACTCCGCCCACTGTGGATGAGAATGATTCTTTATTGCTTCACTCTCATAAAGTAACACCAGCTCGTCTTCGTCTTTGCCTTCCTCTAGACGGAATACCTGAATTCCCGAGATGACATCATCCGGCTTATCTAGCCATTTCCATTCCAATAATCACTGATTTCAAATCATAACGATTCTCCCGATCCCTTCAGCATTTCCATTATCATTCCACCCCTGAATCAAAATAATGTGCTTGAAGGCACTTGGCACGATAAATCCCTAAGACGAGTAGGATTAATACGCCTGGCAGGACGGAATTCCGCGCCCTGAGCAGGCGCTGCGTAGCGCCTTTTCCAAGGAAGGTACCCTTATAAGGGCCCTATCAAGCTGCAACATACCGACCCGAACGCCCACCACGCCCGCCCGCCCACAAATGGACGACCGTACCTGATGCTCGTATTGCTTCATTTGCAAAGTAAATGCATGCGGTGCTGCATGGTATGTGAGAACATACGTGCAGCCGTATCAGACCGTGGCGGTTATTGGCACGATACCTACGGGGAAACTCCTCCAAAATCGCTTTCTTGGGCATGAAGGACGGAGGCTTTTCTTTGCAGTTTTTGACCGTTTCACTTCGTTTTTTCGCCATTTTCCCACTATATAGCACTCTGCTAGCATTTTAGACCGAGTACCAATTATCGTGCAATATGCCTTCAAGACGAACTGCATTCTTATCTACGAAGACGCTTCTTTCCATATGCGAGGTGAATGGCTGCAGTAGCGTGCCACTCTTGTCAAAAGCGCAAATTGATGGGAGCTGGAGTATGCGATACCCGAGTAGTGTTTCCAGACTCCGCGACG